GGCGTGGAAAGCTTCACACCTACCGCCTCGGAGCAGTTGGTGGTTTTGAACACTCGACTTCCCGACTGGCTCCCACCGTGTCACCCCTAGCCCGCCCGAGCTGCAGTGCAGTTTCATTTATCTGGGTTCCTCGGCTGTGATATGAAATTGATTCTGTGGCCTTCTTTCTAACGGAAATCTGCAGGGTGGGGCCGAGAACTGAGGAGGAAATGCATGCCTCGTGCTGTCCAACTAACCTTTGCGGCTTGTGGCAATTCGCCCCAAAGCCAGAGCATTTCGGGGTTACTCTTCTGCAGCGTCTTATCCAGGGACTTACTAACCAATTCTGAATCGCTTTTAGGTGTGGAAGGACGGGAACCTGAAGGACTTTAAAAAGAAGAAAGGAAACAAAGTTAAATCTATGGTCACAGTGAGAAAAAACACATACCGGTTTTTCCCTCAGATCCATAGTTTGGATACCCCAGAAAATGCCCCGTCATTATTAGCACAGCTTTGCAACGCCCTTCTGTGACCACCAGGTGTCCCTGGAGCACGTGTCTGTGGGGAAGGAGCTAGGGTTGGCATGATCCCACCCCAGCCCACTGCCAAATTCAGTCAGGGGAGAGGATTTTGGAAAGGACATAGGCTAGGTAGGAAAATGTAAAAAGACAGGAAGGATGTTATAGAAAGAGAAGAGATCGACGAATATGTGACTTCAATCCCACCATCCATCCCCACCCCATCTCAAGCTGGGCCGCCCTACAGTCTCCGTTTTCAAATCCGGTCTCTCAATTTTCAGGCAGCTGCAGAAGGGACCCTGGTCCTCTAGGACAAGCACCGAGGATAAACTGTGTTGGAAATATTTGGAAACGGGGGAACGACCCTTTGCCAACTTCACCACCATGAGCAGATGCCACAAACGGACTTGCTAATCGGGCAGAAACCCCGGGGTCGAGATGTTATAAAAGCTCCTATGCCTTCCAGAAATACACCAAGGGCCGACCGGCCTGCTCAGAGTCTTTTGGCAGCAACCTGTCACCGTATCTATTTCGCAGGCTGGCTTGAAAGTGACCGCAATGTCTTCCCCCCTCTACGGCATCTGGTCTTCCTTCCTTCCACAGCCACAGTATTACCGGCCCAAAATAACCTCTCTACAAGATTCTCATCATATTCTAAAAAGAGACCCAACACTTTTAAAGTAAAAAAATTTGTTTTGCTATTTCTTGTCTTTATCTTCCCTGCCGCGGTTTCCCTTGAGGGACTGAAAGGAGGAAGTTTCAAAGCACGGAAGTTGCATAGCTTTCCTTTTACAGACACTTCCAAAATCGATCCACCTAGGAGATGGGTCTCATCATTCGTCTGGTTAGATTTCAACTCTAGGGAGGCCGGATGGAAGACATGCGGCTAGAATGTCTCTAGAGGCAAGGATGGAGAGACTTCATGTCGCCTACTTTAGGGGTGTTGTCAGGAGAGACCATTCCCTGGGAAGGTGGAGGGGCAGCGAGAGAGGGTGGCCCTCGGCAAGAGGAGCCGACGCAGTGGCTGCAACAACTGGCTCAAGCTTCACACTGTGCGGGGTGCAGGCCTGAGCAAGTCTGGTTCCACTGCACTGGTGGCCCCAGTGAGAGGCAAATGACTGGGCAGCGGCTAACACCAACACAGGCCGACTGCCACCGTCCAGTCAGTCCAAGGAGCTCAATGATCATCAACACCTCGTATCAAACCGTAGCCAAGGCCAAACAGAGCAGCTGAACTGCTTCAACTGCTCCCCCACCCCACCCCCTTCACTGCGGGCACTGGCGCATGGCAGCCTGCCCTGTCCTCTGCGGTGCTCAGTCACTACCCAACAACCCATCCACGGTGCCACGGGATCCCGTGGGAAGCTTGTTGTTCGGTGTGTGCCAAGAAGGATCCTGGGAGAGCCGATCTAAAGCCATCTCTTCTACTCCCACAGCACACACATTTCTCTCACCCTTGGAAGAAAAGCGAGCAGCCACCCGGAGCATGCTCAAGCGGTGTGAGCATGGAAGCAGTCTTTGCCATCAATCCCCCTTGTCCCTGTCATGATGCCTTTCTTCAAGTGGCCAGCGCTTTCCTGCCCCGGAAGAAACATCAAAAACCCAAACTCATTGCCGTCGGGTATACTCCACCCCCTGGCGACCCTACAGGACAGGGTAGAACGGGCCCTGCGAGTCCCCCAGACTGTGACTCTCTGAGTCTCATCTTGCTCTGGTACAGCGGCTAGCTGCTTTCAAACTGCTGACCTTGCAGGCAGCCCCACCCCCAGGGCTCCTGTCTGACACTAACATGCACGTTATAAATACACACCCCAGGAGTCTGGTGGCGCAGGACGTTAATCACCGAGCTGCTAACCACAAACGCCATGGTTCAAACCAACCGGCTGCCTCCTGGGGAGAAGATGGGGCACTCTGAGCCAGTACAGATGTACAGCCAATTGACGGCCGGCCGTGGGTGTGCCTGCGTGACCAGAGTCATCATGGAGAGTTAACAACATGAAACCCACCCCCCAAGCCATTTGTTGAAGCAGCTCTTGCTGTTTCGGCCAATCACCGAATGAAGATGTCATGTCATTTACATCTCGGCATTTCTTCGGAACAGTACATTAAAAAGAGCCCTGTCGGCTACTCTGGAGTAGGAGTGGGTACACTTTATTTACAAACACAGACAGTGGGCCAGATGTCACCCAGAAGCTGTAACCAACCTACCCCGACTCTAAGAACAACAACGAAAAGGCTGGGCAAGGGTCTTCCGACTCCGAATGCACACCTCCTGATTATCCCCTAATAGCTAGCTGCCGACAGGTTTCCACAGAAAGAATGATGTTAGCAAATATTCATAAGGAACCACGCCGTAAGCTGGAAGTGCCACCTCTCACCTTAAACACGGCACTGCTTAATAAAGGCCAACGACGATGCCACGCCAGCCGCTCTCAAAGGTGTCTACGCAAACAAAAAGCACGTCCTATCATCAGTTGTTAAGGGAGTTTAGACTGACACAGACCAACGGACCCTCCTATACCCTGGCCCTTAGTGACCCCTCAATCTTGGAGTAGAACTCAACCCGCCACCCAATTTCAGCCTAAACAGCAGACAGACCTGTAAGGTAAACAATCACCCCCTAGCGAGGTAGCTGCTCCTGAGCACTAGCAACGGTTGAGATCAGAAGGGTGGTATTTGCCCAAGGTCACAGGTCAGAGGTCAGAGGCAGGACAGGTAGGGAAAGGAGAAGGCCCGTGGGAGACATAGGTGGGCTGAGGCAAAGGTGGGATGAGGGACGTTTTTTGGGGGGAATTGCAATCAGTGACGTGCAACGAAATGTGTGGACTGCTGCCTGGAAAATCAATTTGCTTCGTAAACCGTCGCCCCACTCACAATAAAAAGGTTTTAGAACATAAACAAGTTAAAATGGATTGGGGGAAAGCGATGGCAAAGCTGAATGTTATGTTCTGAACGGTCCGGTCCCGCGGGCACGTTTTAGGCCGAGGGCTGTTCAAAGAAGCTAGCTTACATAGTCATTGACTTGTATTTATCAATCATATATTGATCCGCCATCTTTGCCAGTTCAGATTAGGCAAATTCCCAATAAACGCTTACAACTTAGCTTGCCTCCTTTTAAAATGGCACGTGTAACTTCCACATGAAGTGTACCCTGAGATGTGGCTGTTTAACCATAAAGGAAAACATTCTCTTGGAAGCAACGGATCTTGGCTTCATTTTCCAGAGTTTCACAAGAACTCGTGTGGGTCCACCAAAGCCCAAGGTCAGAGGTCTAGGTCAATGCGAGGGGGTGAAGGCGGGATTCTAAGAGGACCACAAGGAGTGAGAACACAAACTCAGCTCCAACCTCTGACGGCCGTTCTGCACAACTTGTGGAAAAGTTGTGCCATCCAGAAAGTGTAAAGCACTATGGAAAAGCTGTAGAATACCTTCCCGATTATGGAAGCATCCTATCCGAGAATCACCTCGTAAGCTTCATTTGTTGAACAACCCTCCACAGGAAACAACGATCCTGTGACCGATCCGCCGGGGGTTTCTATGTGTTTAAGTGAGCCACAGAATTAGGTAGAAGGACATGGTTGACCATAATTTCTAGAGGGTCCAATGTATCACTTAAAAAAAAAAGTTTAATAATCTCTAAATGCTTGCAAAGAAAGGAAGTATATCATCTTCATGTATAGTCTTCATAGGTGGTTTAGTGAGTGGCAAAATAAAGTGGTAAGCATTAGATAAAAAATTTTTCTATCGTACACATATCATTTCAGATGTATCTTCTTTATAAGTAATTGGGTTAGTAAATTAGATCTATGAGAGTTAGATCAGAATTACCGAATAATCCAAAATGGGAAAATAATGCCTCTACCTTTCCGAAGCAAGGAAGTGGGAAGACTGGAGAGGGCATGAGCTCGAGAGGCCCTCCTGGGGGGCCCCAGCTTGATGAGGGGGGCTTCTTTTGCAATCTACCGGACTGCTGGATACCACAGGGTAAACACTGAAAGAAAGAAGAAGATTAGAGGTCAATCAAATTAAGTGAACTTTCCTGCCGATGATTTCAATACTCTCAACAATAGCATCTATAAACATAAACAGCGGTAGAAAGACTTCGGCCTTGTTGGACCGTATGTGTAAGTCAGTAATAAGTCCACACGAGTTTTCTGGACCAGTAAAAACAGGAAATGGCGAAGAAGAACCATCTCACTTTCTATTACAAGCATATGCCCGCGAAAGGGTGTTTCTCTCTGGTCACACTTAGTGCACAAGCAAAGGGCCTCGTCCAAAGTTTGTTTCCTCAACTGTCCCTTAAACAGAGGGTCCCATGTCTAACACTGGGTTTCCGTGTCCGTGTGCCACTCCACTGAACAGTGGTCAGATTCTCACATAACCTGACACAGTCCTGGATTTGGAAGGCAAAACTTTGAAGACAAAGAAATACACTCAGCGTTGTCTTTAAAACTTTACTTTTCAGTTTGGGGTTAAAGTTCAGTTTTGAACAGATTTTTTTTTTTAACTTCTAAATGGAAAACACTATACATGTGCTTGTGCTTTTCCCTCCTTAGGGGTTGGGGCACAGCGTGGGAGATCCAGGAGAGTCTCCATCTGTCCTGTCCAATGATTGCTGCTCTCAGTGTGCACTTCCTGAGCACTTCAAACATGCCTCATGTAAGAAGCCCAACGGGATCCTGAGACATGCTAGCCAAACAGACACATGAAATCCTTGGTTCATAATATTTTAAAAAGGAATTATACTTGTTGGAAACATATCTTGAACCCGTTGGGTTCAAAGAAAGCCTCTCGCTAGAATTAATCCCGTCTATTTTTTACTTTGTAAAGACGGCAACGAGAAAATTGCGGAGTGCATCACTAGACAGGGCTGGTCTGAGAAACAGATGGGCCTCAGTGACAGACTTCATCCCGGTTCTCCGCCCCCGCCCCAGCTCAGTGACCTTCCTTGTCCCAGGCTTGGCTGGAAACCAGGCACGTGACAGATCTATTTTTCTCTGAGCTCAGCTTTGGCACACACTGCTGATGGCTGCCTTCTTCTTAATGCCATCGCCCTCAGCCAGCTGGCATCAAGAGTGGTGCCCCGAGGAGCCTGGCTCCCCTAGAAAATGCCAATGGCCTGCATCCTGGGTTCCCAGCTTATTTCCCAACAGCCCCCCTTTTCAGAAAAATGACCACTCAATGTCCCCTGGGCAATCAACAGCTTTTGTCCTAGAGATAGCTCACAATCCAGAATGAAGTGTAGGTATGGACTGGGGCAGCCCCCAATGGGTGGGGGCCACCCTGGAAACTGCCCTAGATGTAGAGCAGATCTATGTACGTGCGGTGTCAAAGCCCCTGTCACACCTCGCAACTCTCTAAGGAACTGATAAGCACCCCTTGCTGAGAAAGCCAGCCTCCGGTGATCCACCTTTTCCCGTCCCCAGGCCCCTGCCCACTTGAAAGCGGGAGGCGGGGCTCAGGAGGGCCCCGTGTCCAGGGGGCGTCACCGGGTCATCAGTCTCAGGAACCGCTAGGGTGGCAATCTGCACACTGAGCAGCCCCCATGGTTCCCCAGTTGATGCCGGCTCATTTCAGAGAAGTCAATGCGCTGACGTCTGCAGGATGGATGGAGGCGTGGGAGGGAGATGTCATTGGAGTCACCCTGAATGACCTCAGGGGCCCCTGGAACAATGCCTGTTTCTCGGACTTACTTTCAGGCTGAGGACGGAGACGGGCTTTGCGAGCCTGCTCTCTCCTGTGAGTAACTGGGCGTGTGATGGGACGCCGACACCACCCCTGTGCACTGTGTCCCTCTGCGGACGCTCACCATCCACCCACGTCCTCTTTGCAATGCCAACCTCGACTTGCTACACTCGAATGTCCTCTTCCGGGTCCTGGCTATTGTCATTCTTTGTGTTCTACCGCTTTATCCGGCACGCTTTCTGTAGCGGATGCCAGGGTCCTCTGTACTGGGTCAGGTGAGCGCGAGCGCGGGCACACACACACACACACACACACACAGCGCAGGAGCCACTTACCTGGGGTTGGGGAACCACTCTCTATCTGAGTTAGGGTACGGTGCTGACTGAGGATAAGCTGTGGCTGGGGAAAGGTTTCCCTTGGCAACGCCGTCTTGGAACGGAGCTGTATCACTAGAGAGAGTTCTGGGAGGAACATGCGAAGTTACTGGTGGCAGAGCCGCAACAGTGTCAGTGTGCTCTTGATCGTCTGTGCTCTGAAAACTGATGTGGTTCCCTTTTAACCCCGCCCGGGCATATCCACCCCAGGGGGTAGAAAGGGAGGAAACGAGAATACAGATGCAAGTTCATGTGCATCTATTTATGCTTGGGCAGAATTACAAACTTAGCATGATTTTGTTCGAGGATTTGGATTTATGTACATACACAGAGCTTACAAATAAATGGAAAAGATATGTATCAGAGCTAGGTTGTGAGCACCTGGTTTGCAGAAGGCTATGGGTGACAGGGGAAGTACTCTGTACGTGGATTAAGCCTCTGGTGAATCCCCTGTGACCATAGTCGTGGGATATAAATGGCCTTGTTGTCCGAGCATTGTAGTGGCAATTATGACAGATGTAGTTAGGTTAAAGTGTATTTGATCTCCCTTCTGAATCATTTTAAAGTTGTTTCATTTTTTTTAAATAGGGAGGGGGAAATACATGTGAATTAAGACCGTGGTGAATCCCCTCTGACCATGGACCAGGGAGGTGAATGGCCTGGCAGTCACGCAGAGAGCACTGGACGACTGCAGTTAACGGTGAGGTTAACACTGTAACATCTTATCATTTCATCTCCCTTTTGACCCATTGCTAATTTATCTCAGTTTTTAATATTTTCTGCTTTCTTTTCGATTGGAGCTCTTCTGTTTTACTTTGTTATTGTCGTTAGGTTTTTTGTGCTTGTTTGTTTGTTTGTTTGTTTGTTTGTTTTTCTGAATATGAAATTCAGGAGAGGTTAATCTCTAGAGGCAGTAACTGGACTGATGGGTCCTTGGGTGTATGGCGGGGGAAGTTGTGGGGCAATGGGGAGCTGATAACAAAGAGTACAAGGAAGAAGAAAATGTTCTACTGTTGATTGTGGTCATGAGTGCACAACTCTCCTTAATATGATGAAACAGTTGAATCACATGATATGTAGATTATGTGCTAATAAAGGTGTATGAGTATATATATATATATATACATGTGTGTATATTTACATATATACATATATGCATATATATATATAACTTCATAATTTACTCATCCAGAAGTCATCTGCTTGTACTTCTAACATCAACTAAATTCTCCATTACCCAGTTCTGGGATTAAAAGGCGTATCAATTGTAGTTAGCCCACCTGTCCTGTTTCCTGGCCTACAATAATTAGAAGTGGTGGTGAGGAAGGGCACATGGCTAGCTTATCTTCAATTTCAGACAGGCAAGAAAAAGTCCTACTCTGAATCATGAACTTGGGGGAAATACAGCTGATACCCCTCTAGCCCACCTTCTCTTTATGCAGTAGGAAAGGAGCTGTCCAGAATTACGCTGCATGGCACTAAAAGAGGAGCATCCACTCAAGTGGTATTTCCAAATGTTTCATCTTTTAGAACCGGCACTTTTCGTTAAAACAGGAATGGCTAAAAGCACAGAAAAATGGCACACGGCGTCGAGGAAGGGCTGCTTCTTGGCGGAACCAGCCGCAGCCTACCTTCCTGCCTCACCCTATGCAGCCGTCAGCCCAAGTGCCCTGGGCACCGTCCTGGTGCACGAGAAGCAGCAGCAGGCTGGGGTCAAGGGCTCTGTTCGTGGGCTGCTGACTCTGATCTGAATGGCCGACGCTATCGGACATTTTGGCATGCCAGGGGTCTCTCAGTTTTAAACGACGCCAAGGCTTTCGGTTCCAAAAGCTGGTCTCAAGCCCCTGGGGGACACCTAAGGGATGGTCTGGGGAAATGCAGCAGCTCTGCTGTAAGAGCGCAGCGGCAGGTTCTGCCGGCAGGTGAGCTTACCTATTGCTGTCCAGAGGCGGCTCCTCCTCATCGGAGCTCATCTCGATGGGGAACATGTCCTCCTCCTCGGACGTGTGGGTGGCGTCATCTCGCTTCAGGCTGTCCAGCTGGGACTTCCTCCGCCTCTTCCTTCTCTTCTTGATGGCAGAGCTACTCACAGGTGCCTCGCTTGGAGGCGAGACTTGGGGAGACGCGCTCAGCTCCAGGCACCTCAGCCGATCGACAGAGTTCCTCTTTAGCTGGCTCTCCATCCGCGCGGCTCCTTCTGAAAGGATCGGCGAGGTGGCCAGGTGCATGGGGATCACTTCCTAAAGAACAGACAAAGGTGACCGAGACAGGATTGTTACTAATTTAACGTTCATCTGGGCCTGAGAATAAGGTGGTCAGACGTCCTGCTTTTGGCGGACACTCCCGATTTTTAACAATTTTTTCCCCGCGTCCCACGGCGTTTTTAAAAAGTCCTGATTTTTGGAAAGAATGCATGACAAGCTAGGTTATACGGTTTTCGGCTGCCATGTGGTTATTTCACCAGGATATGAGTTTTATCAATGGTGTCCCACTTTACCAATGTTAAAATCTGGTCACCTTACCTAAGAAGCCTAAGCCTAAGCCCCTCCCGAGACCTCTGGGGGGCACAGGGTGCTCTCAGGTGCAGGCTGGCCCAGCAGGACCAGGAAGAAAGGAGTGCGTGCGGGCGTGCGCACTGCTGGAAGCACTACAGCCAAGGAGACCCGGGGGCAGTTCTACCCGGCAACACGTGGCAGCGTCTCCCCCAGTCAGCCTCGACTCCGTGGCCAACTGCCTGGTTTGGGTTTAAGCACCAGGAGCAAGTGCCACGGTCCCTGATACTGAGGAATGCGAGAGGATAGCAGGACCGGCCCCTGTGGGTTTCTGAGACTGTCCACCTTGACAGGGACAGAAAGCTTCGTCTTTCTCCCAAGGAGCAGCGAACCGTTGCGAACTGCTACAGGGGGTTCCAAAGCTGTGTGTGACCTTTCAGAAGGTCACCCGGCTTGTCTTCCAGGGTGTCTGGATAAACTCCAACCACCGACCATTCTGCTGGGTCTTGAGCATGTCACCATGGGCACCACCCAGGCACTTCCCCAGCGGGTCACACAGCATCAGATCTGCTACAGAGGCCAAGTGTGGAAGGGGCGCTGGAGGCCAGCAGATACACCTGGTCGGGCAGGCCCAATGAAGAAGCTAGCACAGGTCAAGGTGGAGGAAAAGGGTTCCTGCCTGTCCTCACCCCAAGAAGAGGGGCAGCAAGAACCCGGGGAGGAAACGGCCCTGCCAAAGGCAGTGTAGAGCCTGCCTTCCGCAACAATCTGGGGCTGATGGGCAAAGGATCCCCGAATTCCAGTACCCCATCTTTCCACGGAGGACATATTGTAGCCTCCAGGGCCTTCCCACCCACAGGTCCACTGTTGCCTTCCAAGGAAGGCCCAGCATCGTCTGCCGAAACGCCCTGAGTAAATCTAACCACAGTTCAGAGATAGCATCCATGTGAGGTGGCAAGAGTGTCCGTCAAAGTGCCATGGGAGCCGACCATCAGAGCCAGGGCAGGCAGCCCCCCAAGGCCACGGGAGGGGGTCACGGGCGCAGGAAGGTGCAAGGTGAGGACTCTGGTGTTCCTGTCAACTGTGAGACCTTTACCAAGTGAGGGTTATCACCCGGGCAGACCTAATGGACGCAATGGCCCGGTCTAACTCTACCACTGAAAACTAGGGCCATTTGTTTGAGGGCTTTGGGTGGTCTGCAGATCATTCCCGTTCAGCCGTCTCAATAAAGGAGCTAGCTGGGGTGGGTTTTAGTGAGGCACCAGAGCATCAGGTCCCTTCCAAGTGGCTCTCCAGGTGGCACTGAGAGTGATTTTATTTAAATGTGGTCTGCTCACTCACCAAATGAAAATTAGAACATCTGGCCACCTGGCATCTGGCATTCCCCTTATCATTTCGTTAGACTGCGCCCTGGTTCAGGCCAAATGGTTGAATGTAGTCCCTCTGTCTTCCTGGAGATGGTGAGCAGCCTCAAGTAGGGATACATGAGACCAGGTACCGTAGCCAGGCCAGGACTCCCGAGTCTCCCTCTGGAGGAGAAGCCTCCCCCTGTCAGGCTCAAACCCTAGGGTGGGCAAGGGCCTGCTTTTCACCCTCAATCACACCTACCCCTCACGCATGTCTTGCTGGGCCTCCTGGGGGAGAGCTCTCTGACCTCAGAACTAGGATGTGTCCCGCCCCAGCCCTTCCTCACCTGGTCATTATCAGTCTCCTGAACAAAAAAGGCTTCTCCGTTATCTCCCAATTTCATGTGCAGATCCACAGATTCACCATTGATCTCTATGTCAACCTGGAGGGAAACACACAGAAGAAAACAGGACTAAGCTGTCTGTTCACCACAGGAAACTCATGGGAGAGGGAGGGGCATGCCTCCACACCAGGCACACTTTCCTCTAAGGCGTCCCCCAAATTATGTCCCAATTCCAAATCCCGACCAGGTGATCCAGTGTGGCTGTCCTCCCAGAGTCTCCTGCTTTCCAGGGGGTGTGGGTGCTGAGGGGCAGGGAGCTGGCCCACAAGGGCCCTGAAGGATCCTCTTTCCCGCGAAGGGGCAGAGGCCCAGACAAGGCATGTGCCTGGCCCAGGGTCGCAGAGCTGGTCCATGATGGAGTGCAATGGCAACCATAGGCTCCTTAGCCCCAGCCTTCAGAAATCATCATCATGCCCCGGGACATATGGCCTGCTGTCAGCTGGACCCCTTCAAATTCTCTGAACTAGTTTTCACTGGAACTCCACCCAAAGAACTGATCACAGCACATGACTTCAAACCCGTGTCATGTGAGGCATGAACGGATCATCGATTCTTGATTTCGTGTGATAGTGGTCACCTCCCAAAACAGGCACATTGATCTTTCTCAAACGGACTCGACGGCATTGCGTGGGGTCTTTGGGGACAGGCTCTTTGAGAAACGAGGTCCGAGAGGCAGTCTGGCCCGACACACAACCAAGAAATCAAACGACTCGTGGCGTTGGGTGAATCTGCTGCACGAGGCCTTTTTGAAGGGCGACGAGCAGGAATGCTATTTTGACGACGCAGGTGCGCCTGACCCGGGCCATGGTATTTTCAGTCGCCTTATATGCATGTGAAAGTTGGGCAGGCACTGAATAAAGAAGACTGAAGAGTCGATGAATTTGAATTACAGTGTTGGCAAAAAATACGGAAAGTAGCATGAGTTAGCCAAAGAACCCACAAACAGCCATAGGAGGGGGAGAGGGGCACCTTCTCCTCACATACTTCAGACATGTTGTCAGGAGAGAGCAGCCCCCAGAAAAGGCTGTAGTGCTTGGTCAAGCAGAGGGGCAGTGAAACAGAATAAGACCTTCAAGGAGATGGATTGGCACAGGGGCTGCAAGGATGCGCTTAAACAGCAATTGTAAGGCTGGTGCAGGCCCAGGCTGTGTTTCCTTCTGCTGTGCACAAGGGGGTGAGCAGTCAGAATTGGCTCAATGCCCCCTGATACAACCTGCTCTCCTAGCCCCTGGCCATCCTCCACACCAATCAATGGAGTCTACATCCACAGAGCCCAGGCAGACCAGTGACTGCCACAGTGAACAGATCACAACAGGAGTGATGCGACCTGGCTTCTGAAGCCCGATAGAAACCGGGTAGACCGTCTGCCTGGCTACCTTCCTCTCATGATGCCTGCCCTTGACACTAAGCCACCAGGCAGTCAGGCAGACCCAAACCCACGATGCAGCACCTGTAGGTGGCCACTATAGTTGAGACCAACATTCTCACAAAGACCCCAGTCATGAGCCAGAATCAACGAGTCACGTGAGTGAGTGAGTGAGTGAATGAATGAGCAAGTGAATGAGTGAATGAATGATCGAGTGAATGAGTGAGCGAATTAGTGAGTGAGAGATTGAGTGAGAGAGTATGCAAATGAGTGAGTGAATGAGTGAATGTGTGAGCGAACGAATTAGTGAGTGAGTGAGAGATTGAGAGAGAGTAAGCGAGCAAATTAGTGATTGAGTGAGAGAGTGAGCAAATGAGCAAGCAAGGGAGGAGGCTTCAGATGATTCCAGGCCCGGCCTTGGCTGCTTGCAGGGGAAGCCCCCAGGGCACACAGAGGAGACGAAAGCGCTCTGCTGTGCAGTCTGACCCCCAGGATCCAGGAGCAAAATAAAGAGCTGGTTGGCACCACTGCATTTGGAAATAACTGAAACAGCTGTAGGAACCAGAAGGATCTCAATTCGGAGCTTTGGCTTCAGCAGACAGCCCTTCCCAGCAGAGAAGGGAAACTCTGGCTGGGAGAATGAAGACAGGTGCAGAGGGGGGGGTGGGGGGGTGGGGGGTGGTGGTGCAGAGGTCACCCCTCAGGGAGAGCTGGCTATGGGGTCCTGTGTTCTCACCACTTTCTCTCGGGAGCGCAGCACCCCGATCTTCCCGAACCGGACATGGAAAGGGGAGCACTGAAGATTCCCATTGGGCTGCCGGACCACGATGATGTCGATGCATCCAGACAGCGTGGCGGGATTGAGGCCCTTGTAGAGCTCCTTCACCGTAACGAACACCTGGCCAGCCAACTGCCCGACGTAATTCATGGTTTGAGCCTAGAAAACAGACACAAGCAAACGAAACGTATCACAGTCAGGCAAAGACGGAGTTCTGTGAAAGCCAATGAGATCCAGTAGAGATGAGGGTCCCCCACCACCGCCCATCTCTACTCAATCATGGTTCCCCTGGGATGGCTTCCGCAGGACTCCCCCCCAACACCTAGCCCCTCCATCTCCAAACAGCAACCCCCTGAATATCCCCGCTCCCTCTACCAGGAAGCCTGAGTGCAGTCAGCATGGGGACCACTGTCCTGGAGGCCTGCCTTGTCCTGGCCTCATTGGCACGTTTCACACAACTCATCCTAAGACTTCATTGGCGGCTTTTACATAACTGATCCTAAAACTTTTGAGAAAAACCAAACAAAAGTGTGTTTTATACATCTTAGTATCTCCCTTGTATAAAATAATCCCTTTTCTCAAAACTGCTAGGGTGAAGGAGCCCAGGCGGCACAGTGGTTCTGTGTTGGGGTACCAACTCCACCAGCCGTTCTGTGGGAGACAGACGAGGCTGTCTACTCCCATAGAGAGACACAGCCTCAGGACCAATCACAAGACAAGCCCTACCAGGAGGGGAAGGGAAAGGTGGGGGTAGAAAGGGGGAACCGAACACAAGGATCTACATATAACCCCCCTCCTCGGGGACGGACAACAGAAAAGTGGATGGAGGGAGACATCGGTCAGTGTAAGACATGAAAAAATAATAATATAAGTTATCAAGGGTTCAGGAGGGAGGGAGGGAGTGGGGAAAATAAGGAGCTGATACCCAGGGCTCAACTAGAAAGAAAATGTTTTAAAAATGATGATGTCAACAAATGTGCTTGACACAATGGATGGATGGAGTGTGATAAGAGTTGTACAAGCCCCCAATAAAATGCTTAAAAAAAAAAAACCAAGCTCACATATCTATGATGTGGCTTCCTGGGTATAAACCGAACTTGTACAATCACCATCACAACCCCCCCGCCACACACACACACACACACAAATACAGCAACTGTAGTTCTTGTGTCTGTGGTATTCATTGACGCCGTTCTTAATCTCAAGAATACTGGGAAATTATAAGGACAAAAAATATTCATTCCATTTAATTTTAAAATAAGTAAGCCCAATGCCTCCTCCTCTCCCCGGGAACATGTGATTGACGATTTAGGTATCACTAACCTAATTACCAGAAAGCAAAAACATGCTGCTCAGTGTATCTTAAACTAAAGAACTCAAGACCAAAAAAAAATCAAGCTTTAAGTTGCAATACTGAAAGATTCAATGGGCAAAATACTGAATGATGCAGGAAGCATCAAAAGAATATACGCAAATGTGGAGAAGAAAGCTGATGGTGCCCGACTATCAAAAGATATAGCGTCTGGGGTCTTAAAGGTGTGAAGATAAACAAGCAGCCATCTAGCTCAGAAGCAACAAAGCCCACATGGAAGAAGCACACCAGCCTGTGTGACCATGAGGTGTCGAAGGGATCAGGTATCAGGCATCAAAGAACAAAAAATCATATCATTGTAAATGAGGGGGAGTGCAGAGTGGAGACCCAAAGCCCATCTGTAGGCAACTGGACACCCCCTTACAGAAGGGTTGTGGGGAGAAAATGAGCCAGTCAGGGTGTAGGGTAGCAACAATGAAACATACAACTTTTCTGTAGTGCTTAAATGCTTCCTCCCCACCACTATCATGATCCCAATTCTACCTTACAAATCTGGCTAGACCAGAGGATGTACCTGGGTACAGATAGGAACTGGAAACACAGGGAATCCAGGACAGATGTTCCCTTCGGGATCAGTGCTGAGAGTGGTGATGCCGGGAGGGTGGAGGGAAGGTGGGGTAGAAAGGGGGAACAGATTACAAAGATCTACATATAACCTCCTTCCTAGGGGATGGACAACTGAAAAGTGGGTGAAGGGAGACGTTGGACAGTGTAAGATATGGCATAATCATAATAATTTATGAATTATCAAGGGTTCATGAGGGAGGGGGGAGCGGGGAGGGAGGTGAGGAATGAGGAACTGATATCAAAGGCTCAAGTAGAAATCAAATGTTTTGAGAATGATGATGGCAGCAAATGTACAAATGAGCTTGACACAATAGATGTACGTATGGATTGTGATAAGAGTTGCACACGCCCCCAATAAAATGATTTTAAAAAGAAAATAGAATATAGAGTCATTGCACCAAAAAGAACTAGACATTCCATCATTGCAGGAGGTTTTTACTTAAAATTATTATCTTAAATTATTTCCACTCCTGTCTTTGTCTGATTTCTTCCCCATTGCTCCTGGGAAGCACTGTGGGCTTCCTGCTTCTGCCTGTCTGGCCAGATAATCCACTCAGCGCTTACCACCGCCTGTACTCCACAGGGGCCCACAGCCGGGCAGGACGCAGATATAAACCACACGGTGGCTAGCTCCTTAAGGGACCCCGAAGCTGCCAAAGGAGACAGAAGCAACCCCAGGTAACGAGCATGCATGTCCATGTGCTACAATACACATACCGGAGTCGACTCGACAACCACTGTCTGGTTTTGGCAATTTTGTCTGCTTTGTTTCTGCTTTCATTTGGTTTGGATAAATATTAAAAGTTTGTAACACATGAAAAAGAACGTATCCTGAAGCGGTGGGTACTTGGGGGTGGGGGTGGAAGGAGAAACATAACATTTTCGGGTAAAGGAGGTTGGGGGAGGGCTTTTGTTTGTTTGTTTTTAGGAAGAAATGCCTGAAACATCCGGGAGCCGAGAGGAAGCTGAGCGTCCAGCAGAGAACATGCAGGAGGAAAAACACGCTAAGAAATCTGGACTTCACTAAGGGCCCTTGGTGGTCTTGTGGGTCAGGCAGAGGGCAACAGCCATTGAATTAGAAAATAATCAAAATCATTTTTTAAAATTTAGTTGGGATTTAATACCTATATCATATCATTCCAAAGAGCATACATTTGTTAACACCGAGTTTGCAAAAGCCTGTGGTGTGCACTGGAAGGCCCAGGTCTGTCTGAGTCTGCACATCAACTCAAGCCTCCAGAGATTCCTTCGGACCATTAACAGGCAGAGTGAAAAGCTCGTCCCTCGGGCAAAGTGGATGAGAGAGTGGATTATTGGTTCATGGAGAAGAGGCAGAGCCCTCAGTGACTTGCCTGCGTGTGCCTGAGTCATTGTGTTAGTCTGGGTGGACTAGAGAAACAAATTCACAGACACTCATGTGTGTAAGAAAGAGCTTTCTATACAAAGAGCAACTGAACATTGAGAGAACATCCCAGCCCAGTCCAGATCAAGTCCATAAGTCTGATACCAATCTATAGATTCCTCTTCAGACTCACGCCACACATGCAACGATGCCAAATGCAGGAAGATCCCAGGCCAGTGGGTGGAAAGTCTTGTGGATCCAGTGGGAGTAGAGGCATCTGAGGGCTGGTGTGGGTCTCCGCGTGGCTCCTCCAGCTCCAGGGATTTAGGATAGCTCCATGTGACTGGCTAGTCATCAGGAATATGAAGCACAGGGTCTGTGTGTATCTTGGCTTCTAGCAAGCTACTTCTCTCCGCGGTGCCTCCAAATGAGGTCATCAAGCTGCGACCGATGGACAGGCTAGACCCCACCCCTCCGCACGCTGACACCAGATTAGGGAATGACCACAGTCATCATACCCTGACTGCCTTGGTCAGAAGGCTCTCAACCAGCACATCTCACTCACCAGGACCCTGTGGGACAAAGCACAACTGTGCCCGCAGGTTTTCGCTTCCATCCACAGATGAATGGGTAAACGCAGTGTTTCCTATAGCCAGTCTATGAAGTCTTGGCAACGTGCTGCCATACGGATGGATTTTGAAGACTACACTGAGCAAAGGGGGCCAATCACAAAAGGCCAAATATTTTATGACCTCCCTTATAGCAGCGAGTAGAGCATTTACACGGAAAAGACAGATGCACAGAGACCGAAGTTTACCAGGGGCAGGAGGAAGGGGAGGGCGGGGCGGGGTTTGTTAATGATGGTAGGAAATTCCCACTGGTTAAGGGTAAGGTTGTGCAGGCAATTATTGTAATTGCTGTCGATAAGTTACATACTTACTAAAAATAAAAAAGTGAGTTGGCTGAAGTTGCAATGAGAGATATCCTTATTTACAGCCATGACAAAGCAGCTTCTTACATACAACCTAACACCTCGTGGGATTTGGTTCCCCGGTTTGCAGGTTCAGAGTCATGGTTTCAGTGGGACATCTCCGTTAATTTGGTGCTTCGGGTCTCCCTGCCCCTTCACTGTGTAGCCCCTGGGGCCTGCGTGAGGCCATCCACGCACAATTCATCTCTATTCACTAGGAGCGAGAGAGGAAGAAGGGGACTCATGTGTGACTAGCTGCCTTCACAAACAACTGCCCCCTTCCCCTCAGAGCAGAACAACTGCCTAGTGACCATTACTGGGCATTTTAATCAAAGATTCCATAGAAGGGTGGCAGTGGAATCCCAAAATCTGTTTGCCGGGTCCACACATAGATGAAGCCTCGGGTGACACCCCTCTGACCTTCAGTGGAAGATGTTAACAGTCTTGTTATCAGACAGAGGCTATTATAGACGACTGTGGGAGAAACAGGTTAAAATGCAGCACCTTCTCATTTGATCTCCCTTCCGACCCACTGTAAAGCTGTCCTGGTTCTTAATATTCTCTGCTGTCTTTTCTGTTTTATTTTGTGACTTGTTAGCTTTGTGTGTGTCCTTGTTGTTTGCTTGAGGCCATGTACTCCAGGCTGGGTGAGTCTATGGAGAGAGTAGCCGGATTCATGGTTTCTTGGGGCTTGGCAGGGGAGGTTGCAAGGAAATGGGGAGCTATTAAGAGTGAGTACAAGAAAGAGGAAAATGTCTGGGATAGATTGTGTGAACGATTGTACAACTCTTCTTGGTATGATTGAACTACTGAATTGTATGGTGTGTGGCTTATGTGCCAATAGAATTGTTTAAGAAAAAGAAAAGATTCCACAGAAGAATGCTGACCCAGAGGGGGAAGATGAGAAC